ATCATCTGCGAATCGGAGATTTGACAAGTATCGTCCATCCGCTTGTATCCCCTTTTCTTCCCATTCGAGCGATCCTATACTATAGCTTTTGCTTATAAAAAAATCATAATAAAATTTATTCAACCAACAATTTAAACATCCTAAGACCCGTAAAAAATGCCATGCAAATAATGAATAAGAGAAATACAAAAGTAGATCTTTTGATAAGCTGCACATGCTAGCAAGACAAACATAGAACCCAAAGCGACAAGTTCAGGAACATTTCAGAATAAAAAAAAAGATTTGGCATAACAATGGGCACAACGATGTAAGTGACTATCACATCTTCCTTCTAAAGATTTTAGGATAAAAATTAAAGAAGAAAAAACAGCAATAAAAGAACTCCTACCATTAAAATGATAAACCAAAGCTTCATACTCAAAAGCAAGAAAAATGGCAAGAAAAACCTGAACTCATCCTAACAAGCTCAATATTAGTGCAAGAAATGAGGTACCAGCATGACACTGGAATTGGAAAGAAAACATAAAAATCAATTTCACCTGCATCTTCAAAGCACCGGTAAACTTTTTGCCTAAAAGTTCTTTTTTACCTATACAGCGTCCTTGATAAACTGCGACACATCGAATTGCTGCTCATATTGACTTTCGTCCCAAAGCTCGGCCAAATTCCATCGATCCTCCACTGAAGACGCATCCGATGCTGCCGCACTTTTGCGTTTTCTCTTGGCTTCTGGCGCTCCGTTCTCTTTCGTGGGTTGTTCACCATCCAGTATAAACATACTCATCAACTCATCAGTGGCCATCGTTTGCAAAGATCGATTGTCAGCACCAATCAGGGCCTATAAATGGAGAAAAATATTCAAAAAATCATTGTAATAATCAAAAGGAATCCAAAAGACACCCTAATAATCATCGATGTAATGTATTTTCCTTGTATGTGCTCGAAACCCTCCTGCAAAACGTTCGCAGCGAGCAGGGTTCGAACCTACGCGGGCAATGCCCATTGGATTTCAAGTCCAACTCCTTAACCACTCGGACATCGCTCCACGTTCGCTATCGCGCCACTACACGTACACATTAGAGAACTTTATATTTCCCCAAAAGACTTTTCATACTGAGATGACGTTCCCAATCATTTCGAAAGTCAATCAAAGAATAATTCAGAAGAAAAATCAATAAAATTCTAACACCTAATTCACTAAGCATAGATAAAAATAAACAAATAGCTTGACTCTGGTGGGGCAACCTATACTTGAAAAACTTACTCAATGTTCTCAAAACATCTTTCTATTGTAGATCATATCATCCGCAGAATATTTTGAAAAAAACTATAAATATAAACTTGATACCGTTTTATCGAACGATAACTCTGATACTGTTTTATCGAAAAATCCATAACGAGCAAAAAAAGGCTCAAACACTAATAAA